CACTAAAGTGGTCCTTTAAACTAGAGAATACATTTCTGACATCGGCTGTTTTTTTTAGCCCATATTTTTCCTGTCTGATCAGTGGGCTCACCACTGATATTAAGATCGTACAGATATACCATATAACATTCCAAACATATTAACCAATGGGATCAATCCTTGTTCTATGTCCCCTCATGTGACCTAAGCCACTCCCTCTTTCTTTGCTGCTGCCTCGGCTAAGTACCTCATATTTTTTCATCCTCTGAAAAATTTGTAGTATTTACTGTGTTTTCTTCCTGCTAATACCTTATTATTTCATTAATTTTTGGTTAGTGTTTTTTCTTTACACTCTACTGTATATATCTACTACCAGTGCTTTGTTTGTCTGTGTTTCTTTCCCCCTTAGTGTAGGGTACTTGTCCCTATCCTACACTGCCATCCGGGTTGTTTATAACCCGTTTTTCTTCCTTTCCCCACAATGAAGGGGACGGCCCCCCGAGGTGTCCCCCCTCCCCCTTACCCGCGCGCACCTGCCCGGCTCATAACGAGCATTTTAGCCATTCAATGGATTGCTGCCATTAACTTAACCGCCACTTAGACCACTCGCGCATGCGCGGTTCTCTCCCACGCATCGCGGCGGCCATTTCGGGTTTGGCAAATTTGCCGCGCTTTTACCCGTCGCTCGCGCCACTCGTTTTGGAAGGGGTGCGAGCTGATTGGCTCATAGAGGTGTTAGGCAGCTTACCAGTGTCCCCCAGGAGTAATTCCTGAGGGAACACTCGGTAAGCTGCCATATTATTTGTGCCAATATCTTATTTGTGCCCCATTAATTTTCAACTTGGTCGAAACTGCTCTTACTGAGGGGACCTCAATTTACTTACTGGCCATCAGGGGATGGATGCAGAGGCATTTGCCTAATTGGAAACGCCAATGCCGCTTTGGCTACTGTGATCCTTGTCTGCAGGTAGCACGGTCCACTTGGGCACAAACATGCACATTCTTTTAAGGCAACTTAATTCTAGGCACTTTATTGTTAAACTCCACCACAGATACAGCAGCAAAGAAAAAAAAAAAAAAAAACAGTAACACAAATCCATATAAACAAAGTGCTCCAAGCCAGCCTTGACTGCTTCCTTCTGCACTCCCAGTGCTCAGTCTCCTTGACTCTCACAGGAGAGAACAGCATCTCTCCTACCTGCTTTCAGGGAGGAAGCCAGCAATCCCCCTTTACCTGCCTAGCAGCTGATTATCTGCAGCTGAGCAGTGGGTTGGAGACGGATCAAAACTCTGGCCTGGAACTTATTTCTCCCAGTTGTATGTAAACTGCGGAGTGGAGCATTGGCTCACCCTTCTCTCCAAATGCTCCACCCCAGAGGCCCATAACTAAACGTAGGTTTGTGTTGCACACCATATATACAACACGTACTCCCCCTGGGGTTAAAAGTTATAGGCCTCTCTACTAATGAAAATTGAACCAAAACTAATACATCTAGCAATTTCCGAGCCTGGCATACAGGCAAAAGGTGTCCTATTTGGCACTTTCACGGCACTAGACAAGGCGCAAAATAATATGAAGAGTGTGTTCTTGCAGAGGGTTTTTGGTGGGGCCGGCAGACAGGGGGGCCGTCTGTCCGGCTGCTCCCCCTGGACCTCACACCGGGGCTACAGAGGCTCCGCCACAACACGATTCCAGCCTCCCGATCCCAGAACACAGCCACCATTTTTCCCGACCAGTGGCAGGTCGTGGCACCCACGTGGAATCAGGGGATCCTCCTATGGCGGTTGGCCTTATGGTGAGTCATTTTCTTTTACACACCCGTTCCTTATCACATGTGGGGGGCAGACTGTTTCATTTCCACGATGCCTGGCACAAACTAACCTCAGATGTATGGGTCCTAGAGACCATTCTAGGTTACCGCATCTAATTCACACAACCGATTCAATTTTCATTACCACCTCGGATTGTTTTTTCCCACAAGACAAAAACCTGGTAGCAGACGAAATTCGTGCACTAGAAATTAAATGTGCGATCTACAAAGTCTCAGCTACCGCCCCCGGTTTCCTAAGCAATATCTTCTTAGTGCCCAAGAAAGGCGGAGGCATGAGACCAGTAATAAACCTGCGACTGCTCAACGCCTTTGTCACATACCATCATTTCAAGATGAAAGGGATACACTGCCTTCGGGACCTTCTCAGACTGAGAGACTGGATGGTAAAACTGGACCTCCAGGTCGCATACCTCACGATACCGATCGCAGAGGAATGCCACCACTTACTTCAATTCCAATGGAAAAAAGATGATATGGCCTTTCTGATGGACCTGGATACTTCCGGCCAACTTTCAGCCTGTCCTCAGCCCCGTGGTGCTTCACCAAATTGCTGAAACCGGTATTCGCAAGTCAATCCTGCAACCTTCCCAATCAATAGAGTTTCTGGGCTTCAATATAGATGCAATTCACGGAACGCTCAGTCTACCTACCACAAAGGTAAAACTCATCAAGAAGGAAATCCAACTGACTTTGTCACGACCAGTCCTGACCTTACGACAACTCGCCAGGATAATTGGCCTGCTCTCCGCTTCCATACAAGCGATCTTCCCAGGACCTCTCCTCTACAGAGCCCCAAAACAGCTCAAAGCCACCCACCTAAGTTCGGGTCAATCTTACTCAGATTCTGTGCCGCTAGACTGCGCAGCAAAAGAGGAACTAGCATGGTGGCTTCAACACATGGAAGCATGGAATGGCAAGGCGATCTTCAGAACCATCCCGGATCCCATCATAGAATCCGACGCGAGCAGACTCGGATGTGGTACTCGTTGTGGTCCCACCTCTAATGTTGGAAAATGGTCCTCAAAAGAAAAGGAACTCCAGATCAACAGTCTGGAACTCCTAGCTGGGTCATTTGCCCTCTGGAGCCTCCTCGGACACACGACCAATTGTTCCATACTACTTCGTATGGACAATATTTCGGCCGTTCGCTATATCAACCATTTGGGTGGCATGAGATAGTCAATACTCACAGACCTAGCAAAAGAATTTTGGCACTTCTGTCTGACCCGCAACATATCAGTACAGGCAGAATACCTTCCGGGACTCTCCAACACCGTAGCAAATTGGAACTCCAGACATTTACAATACAACAGCGCCTGGCGACTAAATCAAACGATATTCCAGAAACTCCAACAACTCTGGGGCCCAATGCACATCGACCTCTTTGCCTCCCGGCTGAACGCTCAACTTCCCTCATTCTTCAGAGACTGGACCCAGACGTCATGGCAGTGGATGCCTTCCTACAATACTGGCTGAGCAACTGACTATATGCTTTCCCCCGTTCTCACTCATAGCACGAACTCTCCTACACCTGCAACGCTCCCGAATATCGTTGGTGTTAATAACACCGTTCTGGACAGCACAGCCTTGGTTCCCTTCAGTCATGCAAATGTCTATCGACCTCCACAGATTGATTCTCAGTTTTCTTACTACCCTGTATGATCAAGGCTTGGCCTATCGCACTATAAATGTGTATAGATCAGCAATTTCAGCTGCCCATGATGGATAGGAAGGTTTCCTGGCTGGGAAACACTTATTGGTCTGTTGTCTTCTACGAGGCATAAAATTTGCACGTCCACCTCAACCCCGCTACACGGCCTTATGGGATGTTAATATGATCCTTTATTTACTGAAAGACTGGCCTCCAAATACAGATCTCACACTCAAACAAGTGTCCGCAAAATTAGCTATGCTCCTGTGCTTAATCTCCTGCAAAAGGGTGTCAGACGTTCAAGCCCTGGATATTGATGCATGGTCCTTCACCCCGCAAGGTCTCCTGTTTACTATTACCAGACGTACGAAATCGAAAATCACGTCAGTCTTCTATCCCTCCTTTCCTCGCAATGCTAACCTCTGCCCGGTGGCATGCCTTCAGGAATACGAACGGCGGACACAGGCATTTCGGAACCCAACAACACACAACCTGTTCTTGGCGGTGAGAAAACCTCATCACCCAATATCCACAGTAACTCTGGCACACTGGGTAAAATGTATGTCAGCTGCTAACATCGACACATCAGTTTACGGAGCTCATTCCACGAGAGGCGCTATGGCCTCGAAGGCATTCTCCATTGGCTGTAAATTGGAAGACCTTCTCCGCACAGCTGATTGGTCCTGGGAATAGACGTTCAAAGAATACTACTTCCGGCCAACAACATCTCATCTATGGTTATATCGCAACTTTAAACTTGCCTAATATGAGCCTCCGTGTCCTTTAATAAAATTACCAGATTTCACTAATTACATGACATAAAGTCATGATTTTATAAAGGACACGGAGGCGAGTATTAGCCAGCCCAATGACAGGTAAGTCGTACATGTTATTTTTCCCACCCAATTACCGATAAACAGGTAGGAAGGAGCGAGTTAGATGTTCAAGTGATGTACTATATACTAATAATGATTTGGTTTAAAATTTTTTTGCTGGATCCAAATAAAACTATGAGTTAAGATATAACACTTCTTTAAAAACTTGTACAGTTTATATGTATGACAACGATATTTGAATATATTTTACCACATATCTCTGTCTCCTACAGCTTAACCCTAATTAATGGAATATTCGGGATGACCCTCTCCTTCCGATCTATACCGGAACAGACTCACTGGAACCCTCTGCATGACAGTTCAAGTTCATTGTTTTACCCGTTGATAAAAGAGGAAGTGGATTAGGTCACATGAGGAGATCCCATTGGTTAATATTTTTGGAATGTTATATGGTTAACCCTTAAAGGTATTTAGTGTTTTTTCTTGTTATTGCTATATTAAAATATCAATATCCTTTCTTTGCTGCTGAGGAATAAAGAAAGACATAAAGCATAATATGAGCCTCCGTGTCCTTTATAAAATCATGACTTTACGTCATGTAATTAGTAAAATCTGGTAATTGTTCTGTATAAATAGCTACTTAGTAACATTTGGGACAGTTTAAAGCAGTGGGAGGCTGTTAGATAAGAGATGATGCTGCAGCTACAATATACTCTGTTTTTCAGACAAGCCACCATGCTGTAATTTTAGTATCCTATATCTATTCACTAGCTAGCAATGGGTAGCAATTGAGGTGAGGGGAAGGGGTCTGGCTCTCTCTTCTATTTGGTTTTTGGGATTTGGGGATTGGAGACTTGGGAGTTTAGATTTTTCAGAAGGGGTGCCCACGAAGGCACTTCAGTTGATATTGGGTGTTTATAGGTTTTTCCTATTAAGTGAATATTCCCATCCCTGTTCCCAGTTATTATTTAACTTCCGATTTTTCTAGCCAATACTCATCCCCTCTCCTTATCTTCAGTACTAATAGCTAAAGAAACACATAAATAGACACAAAAAAACCCCATAAAAATAAAGTGTGTCGTATCTTTAAAACATTGCAGAGTGATAATGGTGTATTTCACTCAAAGATAAAGTGCACACATATATACTAATAATTGTGAGTACAAAGTGAACCACAAGAAAAACTGTGTAAAAGTGCACTGTGAAATAAGAAACGATAAAGTGCATAAAAATTATATGAAAAAAATTGCCTTAAGTTTGTGTCAATGTAAAAACTCTTTATACATACTATTATCAGCAAGGAGAAATCTCATCAGGATTATTACATATAAAAGTAAATAGAAAAAAACATAGGGTAATACTGTAACAATGGTGTAAAAGAGGAGTAAGGGAGAATATTCAACTCACAATTGTAGAGCAGAGAAGCCTGCTCTAACTATATAGGCTCTTCAATATAACCAGACTGATGACTGTGGTGCAAGAAAACACTTTATTCAGCTTCACTTAAAAACATGCAGGCTGGGAGGTAAGTCCTCTGCTCGAGCTAATGGGTCTGTTGTCGGCTTCATGAGAACTCCGAAAACTGCATACTGTGCTCTTCCGGGAGGCGGGCTTCCGACCAGCTTACAAACGTAATGACGTGAAGGCGCAATGACGCGTTTCGCCGACGACTTGGCTTCCTCAGATCTGTGGGATGGCTACATTTTATTGTGTGGTGGTTGCTGAATGCGATCAGTGGGGATTGGCCAAGTTTTAAAGGGACACTATAGTCACCTGAACATATATATCGACAGATATTTTGTGCTAAGATAGAAATTAAAAGTGTATATTGCCGGAGTCACTCAGAACAGAGCGGACTCCATTTTGGATCTTCAGGCCAACAAAGACACATAATTTCTTCTTGCTTTCTTTAACTAGCCACTAGCCTGAGCTAAGGAATGCATTATATAAACAAGCCAAGTGATAAGCAATGAAGCAGGGGGGTGGAATGCTCTATTTAAATGTTAATGGAATAGAAATAATTTTAAACACAGACACTAGTGACAGAGAAGACTAAGTAATTAATTTTACTCTCTAAATTTTATAAGGTCCCATTGTAAGTAAGGGGTGAAACTGAGTTTAGAACTATGAATTTTAGAAATTACGATCAAAGTCGTTGCCACAAAGACTGAGGCAAATGCTTTGAACTGACAGCAAATTTAAGTTATGGTAGTTATTTTAGATAAGCCAAATGACGTCAAAATCGTCATCAGGAAAAGTTAACCCTTTTCTCTATTACTCACGCACCTCCATACAACCAGGCACTGAGGTTAGATGATCCCTGCCCCACTACAAACCCATAACCAGGGCCGGTGCAAGGATTTTTGCCGCCCTAGGCAAAAAAATATTTGCCGCCCCCCCATATGTCCTGCCCACCATGTGACATCACAATGCCCCGCCCATATGCTCTGCCATATGGGCCAACGCCAGTCTTCACAAAGTGTCTTTTATCTGAAAAGACAGTGTGTTTACATTAAAAAGCCTACAGGTACAGGCTATAGACACCAGAACCACTACATTAAGCTGTAGTGCTTCTGGTGACTATAGTGTCCATTTAAGGTGAGGTAAATTAGAGATTAGTGCCACTAATAATATATTGGATTGCCTACTTACCACCAGATGAGGACAAGAGGCTGATGATGGGCTCTGTCTGGCTCCACAGGTCTGGTGTAGAAGAGGCTCTCTGGAGACTGTTTTTAACAGTCTCACAACAATTAACGAACAGGAAGCAGCTCCATTTTTTATGGCCCCTTACACAGCTCAAGGTCTGGGCCCCCAGGGCTTGACTGTGAGTATGCCTACAATGCTCACCCATAAATCCACCTACATATACCCACATATACCCACCCGTGAGTTCTCTCACAGGAAGTGGAGTGTGTGTGTGTAGGGGATGTTTTATGTGTTATTGTAGAGGATGCAACGTGTGTGTGTTCTTATAGAATGTAATGTATAGGGATACCAATTTCTGTAAGGGATGTAGTGTGTTTATAGGGGATGCAGTGTGTGTTTTTGGGTGTAAGGAATGCATTGTATGTTTCTGGGTGTGTGTGTGGGGGGGGAGGATGCATTGTGTATGTGTGTAGTGTAAAAGAGAGGGTTTGTGGGGTAGGATAGGGACTGAGAGGGGAGCAGCACTTTATTTTTTTATTTTTTTGCATAGTGCTCACCCTCCTGTCAATTATTGGATTTCCCCTTCCCTCCTTTCCCTTAGTGCTCTCCCTTGGCCCCCTGTAGTCCCCCCTTGGTGGTCTTCTCACTCCCCCCTCTCCCCCTTAGTGGTCCTCCATCCCTCCCCTTAGTGGTCCTCCCTCTCCCAAACCCCTTAGTAGACATTCCCCTCCTCCCCCAACCCCCTTAGTGGTAATCTCCCCCCCTCAGTGGTCATTATCCTCTTTCTCCCCACCCCCCCTTAGTGGTCCATATAGCAAATCACTAGCACCATCCCCACACTCATACATGTGCCCTTGTCTCCCCTCTCCTTAGTGGTCCTCCCTACTTACCCCCCTTTGGTGGTCCTTTCCCCCCTTAGTGGTCCTCCCTCTCCCAAGCCCTTAGTGGACCTCCCCTCCTCCCTCAGTGGTCCTTACTCCCCAGTGGTCCTTACTCCCGCCCCCCTCCCCTGTGTTCCTTCACCACCTTCCCAGTGGTCCTTACTCCCCCCCCTCCTCCCCAGTGGTCCTTACTCCCCCCTTCCTCCCCAGTGGTTCTTACTCCCCCCTTCCTCCCCAGTGGTTCTTACTCCCCCCTCCTCCCCCAGTGGTCCTTACTCCCCCTCCTGTCCTTATCCCCCCTTCCCCTGGTGGTCCTTACCTCCCCTGGTGGTCCCTCCCCCCCTGGTGGTCCTTACCCCCCTCCCCTGGTGGTCCTTACCTCCCCCACCCTCCCCTTGTGGTCCATACCCCCCTTCCCTGGTGGTCCTTACCACCCCTCCCCTGGTTGTCCTTACCTCCCCCTCCCCTCGTGGTCCATACCCTCCTTCCCTGGTGGTCCTTACCTCCCCCTCCCTCCCCTTATGGTCCATACCCCCTCCCCTGGTGGTCCTTACCCCCCTCCCCTCCCCCTGTGGTCCTTGCCTCCTCCCCTCCCCTCCCCCTGTGGTCCTTGCCTCAGTGAGCACTTCCTGTCAGTCCGCCAGCCGCCAGGTACAGGAAACAGAGGTTCCTGTCCCGCGTTCCGCGCCGCCCGGCCACGCTAAATTGAGAGACCGGCTGGAGGGATCGTTCTGCGCAATATCACTAATAATTTTTTTTAAAGAGAATGGGTCCTAGCACAGATCCCTGAGGTACCCCACTGGTGTCAAGCCCATGCTTCGAATATACTCCATTGATTACAACCCTCTGTTGCTTGTCACTCAGCCACTGCCAGGGCGGCCACAAAGCAGCCCTGGAAAAAATCTATGCCAGCCCCGCAGCACGGCGTGGGGAAAAAAAGGTGAGTAAAAACACTATTTTAAAACACACACATACACCATGACAGACAGACAGACACATATACCATGACAGATGACAGACACACACACCACATGACAGACACACACACTATGACACAGACGGACACAAACACACCATGACAGACACACACATGACTGACAGACACACCATGACAGACAGACACACACACACCATGACACACACACACACACACCATGACAGACACACACCATGACACATAATATAGCTACCTGTGGGCGACCGGTGCGCAGGGCAAACTGCTGGGTCAGGTGTGCTGGTGGCCACAGGGGGGAGCTGGCTCCTGGCTGTTCCGGCAGCCGCAGGGGGTGAGCTGGCTCCTGGCTGTTCCGGCAGCCGCAGGGGGGGAGCTGGCTCTGCTGGCTCTGCTCCCCAGCGCACAGCTTAATGAGACCGGATATTCCAGGGGAGCAGAGCCAGCACAGCCAGCACAGCCAGCACAGCCAGCTCCCCCTTGTGGCCGCTGGAACAGCCAGGAGCCAGCTCCCCCCTGTGGCCGCCGGAACAGCCAGTTCCCCCCCTGGGCCGCAGGTCAGCCAGCTGTTTGTCCGGCCCCAGGTGCCGATGGCCCACCAGGAAATTTCCCGGTATCCCGGTGGGCCAGGCCGGCCCTGGCCACTGCCTTACCCATTCAACAATATTGGAATCCAAACTTAAGGATTGCAGTTTATTGATAATCCTTCTATGTGCAACCGTGTCAAAAGCCTTACTGAAATCTAGGTAATCCCCAGTATACCCTATTACATCTGCAAGCTAGCTATAGGTTAAGATGTTAAGATGAGATGGATGATTATTGGATAATGCTTATAAGACCATCCCTGTTTCCTGCTGAATATAACCTGCTACACAGCCCATTAAATGTTAGATGTCACCTTGAATCTTACATTGTCTTATCTTGTTCATTGGGGCTACTCACCAGCTGGTTTGGGGACAAGGAGAAATACAGAGAGTTACAGAGTTAAAAATTGATTAGAAGTCCATAGCATGAGATAAAGGAAAATTCCTGACGCAGGAAATCTTCACTAAAAGGGACACTATAGGTACCCAATTGTGTCTGGCAATCATAGCCTGACAGAGAGAGCTAGTAAGTTCCTTGACAAACTATTACAACCTCTGGTACATAAAAGCTAAGTTCTCATATATGACACAAAACAAACTTTTTTTGTCTTAGAAAATCTCACTGTACCCCCGTATACGTCACTAGCCAGTTCGGACTTAGTGGCATTATATAATAATATTCCACACGACAAAGGGCTATTAGGCTGTGCCTACTTTCTTGCCAAATCTGAAGTTTTTTTCTGAACAGGAACAAGCCTTTATTCTCTCTCTCCTCAGATTTGTGCTTACACACAATTATTTTACATTTAATGGGAAGTACTACTTACAGCTAAGAGGAACAG